GCGTGGACATCATCCGCGAGGAGGAGGGCACGCTGGAGTTCGACATGGTGGGCATCGACGCCGCCATCGCCAACGCCTTCCGCCGCATCCTGCTCGCTGAGGTACGGCCCTGGGCGGACAGGCGGGGAGGGCAGAGGCTGGGGCTCGCCGGGGCGGTGCGGGGAAGGCCTCGGGGTGCCGGCCTAGGAGCGAGGGGACTTGAGTGATGGGGAACGGGGGAGGTCCTGCGTTATGTCACCTTGCGGGCAGCTGCTGGGTTTGGAAGAGAAGCGCGAATTCCTTCTGCAGGCGTGTCAGGAGCCCAAAGAAAATTAGGGCCTTAGCAGCACGAGCAATAGCACTTGTTGCTCTTGAGGGTGGTGATGGTAACATTGGCCTGTCACTTCTCCTGAGCATTTGTCTTTAAAAAAGGAAAAAAAAACGGGGACAGAGATATATTGGGTAACCTGGTTTGGTACAAGTAACACTGAAAAGTCTATAGGGCAATTATTTATGGGAGAGAAGGGATACTTCTATCTGGATATTCTGTTGCCATTAGTTCAACTGTCATCTTATGCTGACTTGATCTGTGGTCTCCCTGAGGTGCCAACGATGGCTGTAGAGAAAGTCTTTGTGTACAACAACACATCCATTGTGCAGGATGAAATTCTGGCTCATCGCTTGGGCCTCATCCCTATCCGAGCTGACCCTCGACTCTTTGAATATAGAAACCAAGGTGAGAGTCTTGGATCAAATAGAAACACTGAAGATTTCCCCCAGTATGAGCAGAAGTGTGATTACATAGATGCTCATGCTATTCTCCCCTTCCCAGGAGATGAAGAAGGCACTGAAATTGATACTCTGCAGTTCCAGCTGAAAATAAAATGCAGCCGAAACCCTCAGGCAGCCAAGGAATCATCTGATCCTAACGAACTATACTTTAATCACAAAGGTGAGATCTCTTCCTGTCCTAAAAATAGATACTGGGTTTTTTTTGGTCTTGGGAGACAGGATTTGGTCAGGATTTGGTGTGTTCTCAGCCCTGTGAGCTGATTCCCTCATTTTGCTAAACGTAGTTTTTGCCATCTCCAGTCCTGTACAGGACAGCAGCCTGTTTTGAGACAACAACTGATTGATGCTTGTGGCTTCTCTTTGCAGTGTACAGTAAACATATGACGTGGGTGCCCTTGGGGAATCAGACAGACCTCTTTCCAGATGCTGACTTCCGACCCGTTCACGACGACATCCTCATTGCACTGTTGCGACCTGGCCAGGAAATAGATGTGCTTATGCACTGTGTCAAGGGTATAGGTGAGTTGTGGGTCCTGGGGCAGCGGGAGGAGGGGTGTGAGTGCTTGGCACAGCTGTGTGAAGGGGAAGGGTTGAGAACTGGCTGTCCCACTGGAAATTTAGGCTCTGGGTTTCCAGAGGCCTGCCCTCATCCTTGACTCTTAACTCTTCGTGCAGGTAAAGATCATGCCAAGTTTTCTCCTGTGGCCACGGCTAGTTATCGACTGCTTCCTGACATTACTCTCCTGCAGCCTATTGAGGATGAGGCAGCTGAGATGTTGCAGAAGTGCTTTTCCCCGGGAGTCATTGAGATCCAGAACATCAAGGGTACTTTTTTCCTGCTCTTATTCCTTACAAGCCTTAGCAGAGACTGATTAGAGACTAGAGCCAAACCCTGTAAAGTCAAAACCACATTGTGATGTTGCCGTGCCAATCAGTGACTGTTCATGCTATTCTGAGCCTGCTTTTGTGGATGAGTGGCTGTCACATGTTGGGTGATGAACTGGGATCTCTCTGAAATGACAAGGCCTTGGGTGCTCCAAGCCTTAGCAGAGACTGATGAGAGACTAGAGCCAAACCTTGTAAAGTCAAAACCACATTGTGATGTTACCTTGCCAATCAGTGACTGTTCATGATCTCTCTGAAATGACAAGGCCTTGGGTGC